GGTAGGGTATACACTATGTTGTTTAGTTCAAAGAATCCAATAGAGCATATATGAAACACCATAGCATACAACTTTATTGCGAAAATGCAAAATAAATATTCAAAATGGCTGTCAAAACACATTAGCATTAAAATGACTGCGAGTATATGTGATTTTTGGTGGCCATTTTGAATATTTATTTTTAATATAAATATATGCTATGGTGTTTTATTTACATTCGATTAGATTTCTTAAACTAAAGAGCATAGGTATTAACACCAAGATTATGGTAATATGTACACTAAAAGCCTTCTTACTGCCAAATTTGTGTTTTTTGGTGGCCATTTTGAATATTATTATTTAATTTTGCATTTTCACTATAAAAATGTATGGTATTGTATTTTAATAATGTTTTATTGAATTCCTTGAACTAAAGAACATAGGTATTGACACCAAGATCATGGTAATGTGGGCTTTTAGAGCCTTTAAACTGCCAAAATAGTGTTTTTGGCGGCCATTTTGAATATTTCATTTTTTGGAGGGGAAGGGGTGGAGTGACATCGTGGTTCCCACAATTTTTGAAATTAGCATACTCAAACCCCCCCCCTCCCGGACAAAATTTCATGCTTCTTTCCAGAAGTGCACGCCCAAGTCACATATCCGCCCCACTATATTGTTTGTTAATTTATATCTTTATATTGCTTTATGTTTTTTGTTGTATTTTAGCTAAAAGTTTTACTATATGTACTAAACATTTGGACCCAGGGCCAAAAGGGAGACCAGTCTACTTGACTGATTGGGTCAAACTAGTTAAAAATTGTGGATAAATAAATAAATAAATACAATTAGTCATTATTTTTAAAGTGGTCTTTAATCGGGGAGAAAATTTTCAGTTGGGTACAAAAAAAACCTTGATCTTTGGTCTATTTTCTCTATGATTACAGGGAGTCTTTAATTGGAGGGAACAACTAATGGTAAGACATAGGCATTCAATCGGGACTACAAAAAAAATGGTCTTTAATTGGAGGTGGTCTCTCATTGGAGGGGTCTTTATTTGGAGGTAGACCTGTATTTTAAAAAAAAGATCCCTTACCTCAGTGTTTAATTTTGAGAGGGTTAGTGTATTTTGTGTTAAGATGAATATGTCGAATTAAGAAAAAATATACACATTGTCTTTTATAAATAGAAACTGAGCCTGCCTACCACATTAATGATAGAATCCATTTAAAAATTGATATACGTGTGACTTTATTTATGCAAATTTTGTGTTTAAAATTGTATTGGTTGATCATAATGATTAGGCCTATAATAGTTAAAGCTTAGAATAGTCAGGGCTAAGCTGTCCTGAATTAAAATTATTAATCTCTTTTGTTGCCGAAATTCACTGATAAAAGATCATGACAAAATTGTTTTTCTTCATGTTATTGTCTTTCCTTAGTTTTCCTTTTTAAATTTGGTGTAATCTAGGGCCGGTCGGTTGAGTATACACGAAATGTTCGTAGTGGAAACGTTTATTTGCATTATTTAGGTCCGATTCAAAAATATTCAACTTTGAATTTACATCATTCGCGTTAATAACGTCATGCCACTGGCGTTTACATTTGACTCGTTAAGTGACTTAGTTACTATGCTTCTCTTTTTTCCAACTGACCCAGGCTTTAGTTTCCTACATATTACTGCATAATCGCTTAATCCAAACGAAGCATGCACTGATGGCTCTTCAAAATAATTAGCTAGATTTGTGACAAATCCAAGATATTTGCTAGATCTTGTGGGTGTTTGTACAATCTGTTTTAACCTTGTAGCTGAACATAAACGTCCTATCTTATGTCTGACTTCATTAAAATCTCCGCAGATAATAAAACCAGCTCTTGGTGATTTAGATCTAATAATATATACTGATTCACGGAGGTTTTGCACGAGAACAAAAATTGAAATTTACAGCCTGACCAGGGCTGTGATACACAACACACATACAGTAAATATAGGGGAAAATTTCTCGGGGCATTCTCTTTAATACACTCTAATTCATCAGGAAATGGTAAATAATAATAATAATAATAACAATAATAATAATAATAATAATAATAACAATAATATAATAATAATAATAATAATAATAATAAAAAAAATAATAATAATAAATAATAGTGTAGTTTTAAATAGCGCACATATCCATCTAATATAAGATGCTCAGGGCGCTTGATATGTGCCACTAACGGTCCCTTCGTGTCTGTACTACCTGGTAACCTGGTACCAGCAACTATCGTTGCCCATCACACATTAATTTCGACCAAGATAAAGGCTAGCTTTGCACTTAAATTGTGCAGTAGATATTTAAAATACTTTATTTCAACATGGTAAAACTTGATCCTAGTAAGCCTGGATGATGTAGACTTAACTACTAGTGACGGTTTGTAAAATACGTACTCAGATTGATAAAACATCTTTGTCTAAATGATAGATCCATGGGATTTTTAAATATGATTTTGTTTCAACTGAAAATTAAAACAGGAATTCTACGCTTCATTCCGCCTCAATTTCCCCTTTTTCTCCAACATTTTGTTTCAAGTTGTATTTGTAGTGATATTAACACCACCTGTATGCGATCGCACTGCTGTGTAAAAATTTTATGCCAATGGCACAATGCGGCTTAGGATGGTTGGCATTTTCTGCTTAAATACTGCAAAATGACACGTTCAAAACACAACAAACGAAACTTCAGCACACATTAATAGCAGCTAAAATTCACCAATGAAACCAAAGTGCTGTTCGGTACGGAAAGCAGCTTAGTAAGCACTGCCGCTGACTGGGCAAAGTTTCATGATGGCTCTGACATGTCCATTGGTCTAGTAATATAATGTTAACTCTTTCTATTTATTCAAAAAGTAACTTAAGAAACACACGTTGGATAATACATAAAATATAATGATGCATCAAAGTTTATTGTTAATTTCATGTCTGTTTTATTTTCAAGTTGTACTACCGTACAGTACGGTATACTGGTTGCGATGGAAACCTGTGTATGTATGCAGAAAATTTAACAGACCAGGAACAAAAATGTATTATCATACTTACTTCTGCCTGAATATCTTTGTTTGCTCCTGATTGAATGAGAAGCCTACTAATATCAGTATGACCATTAGAAGCACTTGTATGCAAAGCCGTATACCCATTCTACATATTATAGAAAAATGGATAAAAATGTTTAATAAGTGAGCACTTTTCATTTGTAGTAACATATTACTCTTATTGTATCTGGTACAGATTGGGTACATCATTTAATTTCTAATTATCATGCATTCCAAATACCAATTTTTTATCATAGGGAAGCATCCTTAGAACTGTGTATAAATGACATAAACTAAGAGAGATGATCTTCTATCTTCTCTTCATCCTATTACAAATTTTATGGTAACTGGTACAAGTGAGGTAGATATACAGTACATAATAATAAAAAGTACAGTATGTCAACATGTAAAGTTTATTAGAATGGAGAAATTTCCAAAATGATATGACTTCATCAAATAGCACAAAGATATATCACATTTACTTCATCAAATTTAATAGACCAGAGAAAAAAAATGTAATAGTATTGTACTTACCTTCTTTTGGATATCCTTGTTGGCTCCTGATTGAATAAGGAGTCCACAAGCATCTGTATGACCATTTTGAACACTTACGTACAATGCCGTTGCCCCATCCTACATGTTATAAAAATATAGATGAAAAAATGTTTGTGAGCACTTTTCCTTTGTAATCACATATCACTCTTATGGTATCTGGTATCCAAAGACCAATTGTCCAATTGCAACAATATAAAAACTAGATTTGAACTTGTCACTGAGGACGAGTTAGGTGATCCACCGCACTTTGACCCACGAGAAAGTGTGTGCATGGCGGATTGAACAATAATTAAATGCTGATAATGGCAAAATACGCTAATTTAGTTTGTTAAAAAAGAATTTTGTGTATTTAAAAATATTTACTCATGCGTACGCGCACGTCATGACGCACGTGCGCATCTTAATGTCACTGTTGTCTTTTGATATGAGATATATATGTATCAACTTTCATTGAGAAACGCCTGTTGGTGAAGGAGTAATGATCATTCATAATATTTATCATATAAAAATGCAGTTTTTTTTTACATAAGGATGGCAATATGGTGACGTCACAATGTCCGATCAGCTATTATGATATATAAAATCATATCTACAACTCATGTGCTTTTGGAATATGTAATAAAAATTGGTGGTCACCTTTCATTCTAAGGAGCTATATTTGATTATAAATAGGCATAATTATTAGCATATGTAATATTACGTTAAGATGCGCAAACAAAATAGTAAGATATCTAACATTCAAACTTGATCTGAAGTATAAGCCCATTTAATATTATTCAAAAATGACAAATGGTTAAGATAATATGACGTCATCAACGTTTTGAGAAAAGAAATATAATTTTTTTCTTGTTTTTTAATTCAGATGGCAATATGATGACGTCACAATGTCCGATCAGCTATTATGATATATAAAATCATATCTACAGCTCATGTGCTTTCAGAATATGTAATAAAAATTGGGGGTTACCTTTCATCCTAAGGAGCTATAACTGATTAAAAAAAGACCTGATATAAAGCATATTTTAATTTTGACGCACGAGAACGCTCGCGTTATTACCCGCGCACAAAAATATAATGTACATAACATTTAACCATGACCTGAAGTTTATGCCCACTAAATATGATTTAGAAATCACGAATGATTAAGGTGATTATGGGGTCATCAAAGGTTCGACAAAAGAAAGATGAGGGGGGTAAGCAAACCCTATATTTTGACCATGATGGCGTCATCAAAATGTGCAAATTTGTACGTATATGAAAGAGAATTGACATAGCAATAACATACTCAAAGTTGGAAGAAAATCGACCAAGAATAAGCGAGATACGCTCAAATGCGCATTTTTTTTAAATGACGACATCGATAATATTCAGTTTGTTGAATTCAGATGGCAATAGGATGACGTCATAATGTCCGATCAGCCATTATTTCATAAAATTTAATAGACCATGAACAACAATGTAACATTACACTTCCGTCTAAAGTAAGTATTGACTTTTGACACAATTTACCTGATGATATCAATGAGGATTATAAACCATGTAATTCGTTAGGGTTGATTTTTCATAGCACTAAATGCAGATTTCTTTTTTCATTTTCTAATGAGCATTACAAGTTCCCATTTTGAGTTGAGCAACCAAAATGTTGATTGACGTATGTATACACACATCTGTAATGTTTCCTTGAAACCAACCCTCAAGCATGAACAAAAAAATGCCTGCCTCCGTGAATCTGTATTTAGGTATATGGGAGCCACTATTAATTGAGCGATGCTCTAGTTCTCTTTATGCTAACCACGAAGATGTATAGTACTGTAAGTGTAACTGATTGGCTTACAGTAAACCTTCAAACTAGCGGAATATAACCACATTTAAACTCCATCTAACTTGACGAAAACAATAAGATAATTAATTAGGCTATTTTTTAAAATAAAGTTCTCTGAAGGTTAACTACAGAATTTACAGTACATTGTAATGAATTTGTTATAGGTTGTAAAAACTGTATTGAGAAAAAAAAAATCTTGACATTAGGAATTAATCATTTGTGATACAAAATGATAGGCTATGCCAAGTGTTATTGAACAGTGGCCGATTTAAGAGGGAACCCAATCAGCACAGGCCCCCAACCACCTAATTTAAAAAAAATTATTTTTAAAAATGGAGAAAACAGACAAAATTATATTAACTGTTCAATTTTAAATGGAGATATAAGGAAAATAAGGAAATTTTTCCCGCCAAAACTTTCCCTCTACACTGGAACTATGCCATTGTTTTTGGCTTTCCTTCCCCCAGCTAGAACAATGCCACTGTCTTGGCTTTCTAGCCACGCCCCGCCCTTCTATTCAGACCATGAATTTTAGCTTTTGTATAGCTTTTCACTGGTAGGCTCAGCCTTTGTTTAGTTTTCAACCAATCAGCAGCAAGTCTCATCACTCAAACATATAAGTATTTCCCTGTTTGAGATCTCTGCAGATATTATTCTCCTGAAGACGGTTGAAGCAAGTCAACCGAAACGTCGAGATATTCTCAACCAACAAGAACAGTTCTTTTCAGAACTATCTATGTGGTGTACCGCAAGCATTAATTATATATTATACTTCGCCATGCAAACCTTCAAACGATATAAGGAAAATTATATATTTAAATTTCTGAGAGTGTAATTTCCCGCCATCTAGAGGTGCCATAATCGCAAAATTTTCTTACCTCAGACCCAACCATGGTGGGGCTGAGGTGGCATAGATCTTCCATCTGCTAAAGTACCCAGTGGCAAATTCAAAGGGGACCAAGCTGGGCTCCCCCCACCCTCTAAATTGTAAAAAAAAATGGAGATATAAAGATAATTATATTAAAATTTTATGTCTTGAAGTGCAATTTCCGGCCATCTAGAGGTGCCATAATCACAATTTTTTTTGCCTCAGCCCAATCCATGGTGGGGCTGAGGTAGTACAAATCTTCTAACTGTAAAAATGCCCTCCCTGGGCCCTTCTATTTTGAATTCCTGGATCTGCCACTGGAAATTACAACAAATATGTAGTCATATTACAGCATGTAGTAGCTTGATGCCTATAAAATAACTTATAAAATTTACCAAACTTCGTAAAATATCCGTAGCTTCCCGCCCCCACTAAAAGTGTCCTGCCCATAGAGGTACTATTTCCTTAAATATTCGCACCTCAGCCCCAACCATGGTTTGTCTGTGATGGATGTAGACTCACAAAATGTCTCCCTACTCGCACCTTTCAAATCAGATCTGCGCCCTTTCCTGGGTATGACATTAACTTCCATCAAGTCGCCACCTGACCCCAGCAGTAGGAAGGGGAATATCCCTACCTTTGCTCATTACTACGTACGTAAATCGTGCAATGTCGTTGACCCATACTATATATTATAGAAATATAAATAAAAATGTTTAATTTAAGCGAGCACTTTTGCTAGTAAGTGCTCTACCTCATATTTACAATATTTAAACTTGGCTTGTTTAATTTCCCATTTGACGATATTTCTATATTTCCGGTACATACACAACGACTGACCGTATTTGTGATATGCTAATTGTCTTTCCTTAATTTTCCTTTTTATATTTGGTGTAATCCAGGGCCAGTCGGTTGAGTAACTGTATACGTTTATATGCATTAATTAGTTCCGATTCAAAAGTATTCAACTTTGAATTTACATCATTCACATTAATAACGTCATACCACTATTTAATTGTAACCCACCTGCCAAAGGCGTTTACATTTGATTCGCCTAATGGCCTAAATGACTTAGTTACTATATGCTTCCCTTTTTCTTAACTAACCTGGCTTTGGTTTCCAACATATTGCTACATGCAATTACCGTACTTGTTTTTATTTATAATAAACCATTTTTTATTGATGTACTTATGTATGCTAGCTTTCGTCTTGTTTTCAATAAGACTTCGTCAGGCTGAATGAGCTGGACGTTTTGTTGCTAGTGAAACGTCACAGGTTTGACGCCTCCTATCTTCTGTTCTGGTCCTGTTGGATCCGGGGGCCCCGGCCTCTCAGGTTGTAGAATTTGGTCATAGATGTGAGAGAGTCTGTATACCCGTCGTCCCTGTTCATAGTGGTTTGGTGTTTTCTTATGGCAATTGCTTCGCTGATGATTCTCTTGTCCCATGAACATTCTCTTTTTATGATTTTGGCATTATCCCAATCTGGTGTGTGATTGAACTGAACCATGTGATCTGTAACTGCTGATTTATGAAGTGATTCGAAGTTGGATGAAGGAAGTGCTTGCTGATCTTGTATGTATGCCTTTGGTATTGTTAGTGACATCTTTTTTGTGTTCTTCCAGCCTTTTCTTGAAAGCTCTGCCGGTTTCGCCTATGTAGACGTAGTCACAGTTTAGACATCCGATCTGATAAATTATTCCACATGTGTCTTCTTTCTTTGTCTTATCTTTTGGATGGACTAGGATTTCTCTGAGCTTGTTAACTGGTTTAAGATAAGATAAGATAAGATAACTTTATTGTTCCACAAGGGAAATTCTTCTGCTCGTTTGTAGTACGAGCCAATTTTATGTGTATGAAGTGATGCTTGCTTTTTCCGATATTCCTTGTATGTAAGGGAGTTCAATGTTGCCCTTATTTCTACTAGTTTGGTTTGTTTGGTTATCTCCTTTTGCAGTTTCCTTTTTTGTTGTTGTTGTTTTATTCTAGTTATAGTCCAGTCCGGGTATCCACAGTTATTTAGTGCTGTTTTGATGTTTTGTAGTTCTTTTCTCTGATTTCTGGTGTTCGATACGATAGTGTAACATCTATGGATAAGGGTGCGGGGAACACTCGATTTATGTTGAAGTGGGTGGTGTGATGTAAAATGCAGATATTGATTGTTATGGGTAGCCTTTCTGTGGACTGTAGTAGTGAGGCGACCATCGACTTCTCTTGTGATAAGTGTGTCTAGGAACGGAATGGAATTGTTGCTCAGATGTTCACATGTAAATTTTATATTGTTTGTGGGGTCAATATGGTTTAGGTATGTATTAAGTTCAGTAGATTTTCCCTCTGGAATGATCGCTAGTATGTCATCTACGTATCTCTTCCAGAGTATTGGTTTTATGTCTGGTCCAGCTTTGACAATACCAAAACATTGGCTATATATGTCATTTCTGAAAGAGAAATATGTAGTGGAGAGCACGAATGTTAGTAACTCCAATATATCATCTACTGTAAGATACGTCCTGGAATTCAGATCTTTGTCAGTGAGCAACCGTTGTTTTATTATTTCCAGTGATTTATCTACTGGAGTTTTAGTGAATAGGGAAACGAAGTCAAAGGAGACGATTGTCTCTTGGGATGAGACAACTATATTCTTTAGTGTGTCTGCAATATCCTTTGCGTTGTGTACATGATGGATCGTGTTGCCAAGCATAGGAGAGAGTATGTCGGCTAGACTACGAGAGACATTGTAAGTGATAGATCCTGTATAATCAACAATGGGGCGGAGAGGAGTGTTGTCTTTATGGATCTTGGGCGAGCCATAAATTTGTGGAATGTTTTCCCGACGTTGTGTTGACTGGGTGTTATTTTCTTTTCTCATAAGTCTGTTAAGTATGACTGTGAGTTTTCTTTTGTAACCTGCTGTGGGATCTTTTTTTATTTTCTTGTATGTGGATTCATCGGAGAGCATGTCAATCATTTTCCTTTCATAGTCAGTTGAATTTAGTATAACAGTGGTGTTGCCCTTATCTGCTGGAAGAATGGTGAGTGATTTGTCGTTTTTGATTGTGTTGAGTGCTTTAACTTCTTGGTTAAGATAGGAGGCGTCACACCCGTGACGTTTCACTAGCAACAAAACGTCCAGCTCATTCAGCCTGAAGAAGTCTTGTTGAAAACAAGACGAAAGCCAGCGTACGTAAGTACATCAATAAAAAATGGTTTATTATAAATAAAAACAAGTATTGGAATATTAATCACAAAACCAGATGAAACTATTTGATCATATTGCTACATGATCGCTTAATCCAAACAGAGCATGCACTGATGGCTCTTCAAAATAATTAGCTAGATTTGTGACAAATCCAAGATATTTGCACTTCTTGTGGGTTTTTGTACAATCATTTTAACCCTGTAGCTGAACATAAATATCCTATCTTATGTCTGACTTCATTAAAATCTCTGCTGATAATAACACCAGCTCTTGGTGATCTAGATCTAATAATATCAACTGATTCGTTTTATATCGCTGGTTTAATGTCACTGGTGTCATTGTTGCTCCGAGTAGTGTGCACCTTTTCCTTGTCGTGGTGATGCTGATACTCTACTGCAGCGACCGATCGAGTGCTCTGTATAACATTACAATGTGATCTAAAACGATTTCAGATTTCAGTTCCGTATCACTTGTGACCGCCTTATCAGCAGATTCACTTTTTGAGTCTGAACTCGTCATCACATTAACTATCGCTTACGATCGATTCTCTTTCTTCCTGCACGGTTGGAGAGTCTGATTGCTTTTAACCAGCGAGTTTGTACATCCAGCTACCATTGAGTTTTGGCATTGCTGGGTATGATACCCTGAACCATGGGTGACATTCCTTCAATTCGTGTCATTGGTTAAAAATCCTCACTCAATGCTATTTTAAAAAATCGGCTTAGGTAATTTTTTTTTGGTTTTGTTTGATTTTTTTTACTGTTTGTACATGGTATGTTTTAATGTATTCCATTTGTTAGTGTTGTTCTAAGTTCAAGCGAATAAGCAGATGCTAGGTCTGCTTCAGGGTGGTGAAAGAAACATTTTCAATTGTTTTTAAAATAAATTAATTTTAATTATCAAAAATATTAACATTAATAACAGTGAATATGAGGAAATCATGTGTATAGTTTTCAACCAAATTATAAATGTCAACTAATTAATAAAATACACAAGTATAATTTTTTAACACTTTATATTTAGAAATAAAAAAAACGTCTTTATTCTGTAAAAGCTTGAATAATATTTGGAGGATTCAGTGCGGTGCTTATTCAAGAGCGGCGCGCACAAAAAGAAATACTGGTGTGGTGATTTTCATGCCCGTTCCATGTTACATATCTCACATTCCCGTAGTACAGTAGGCCTATCATAAGTCTGATGTCATAGTAAATAAACACTTTAATACCAAAAAAAAAAGAGAAATACTTGTGTATTCATTGTGTTATTTATTCATCTTAACACTGTATACATTGTATTTAAACCCAAATTGTTTAATTACACACAAGGTAATAATATACTCTTAAGAGCCACGACACGGCGCTTTTTCAAGTATTTAGGGTAATTAAAAACTACATAATCTGAATCCACGATTTTGTAACAAGATAGCAATAAAGGCTTTTATTTTAATTATAAATCGTTTATTACAGAAAATGTACTTTTTATAACTTTTTATCACTTACAAATTGACATCTTATTGATCATTTCAAACATTTTTTGCCTGCAGTCTGGGTGTTTAATTTTGTGAATAAAATTTTCCCAAATAGTTGTCTGTACCGAACACGATGGATCAATCAGCATACATTCTGCAATATTTTTAGCCCATTACTTGTGTTGAACTTTTTGGTTCCAGAAAGCTGTATAACCTTAGCTTTTATCGTTACAAGTTGAGTGTTGCTTACACTTAAAAGCAAAGAAATGTTTTGGGTTGATAAATTCATAAATTATCTCTTCCAACTGCTTTATTTTAACTTTTGAGTTTATAAGAATATTGGTACTGAAATTGCTCAGCTTCACTGGACTTTGGTTTTCAATAATTGTTTGTAATTGCATTTTGAAGTACTGATTTGTGTTTGTTTTTTTAACTGGAGATACATTATGAGTGTAGGCTTCCCATGTCTTTTTTTTTGCATATTTTTCAGTTCATTAACAAGAAATGATAAAGTATAAAATGCAAAATTAATTATTGATGGTGAAAAATTAGTGAACTATGAAAATGACTATGGATTTTTTTAATGAAGTTTTACATACCTTAAGGGCACCCTTGCAGTATTATTGGTTTACAATTTTGCTGCCTGTTTCATAATGAAAATTAATTTTATATATATATATATATATATAAATCAGTAGGTAGACGCAGACAAAATAAACTGCTACGATACTATGACTTGTAGGAGACATAGAAATATTTATTAGCGAAATTTTCGGCAACTCCTCTTCCCCGACAACCCCAAACCAGGCACCTTCTACACTATCCCCAAGCTCCATAAACTCCCCAACCTCATTGACAAAGCCCTATCGTCCATTGAACCCCAGCATATCCCTTCTGCTGATCAGACTGATGTATTTTCATTAGCCAAGTCCCTTCACATACTCCCCCCTGGACGCCCCATAGTGTCTTGCTCCGGTACTCTCACCGAATATCTTTCGGGATACATCGACAGCTGTCTCTTATACACATCTAGATGTGTATAAACTAAAGATATTATCTCTATTATGCAATTCATTTTAACCCATAATCATTTTCAATTTAATGATAAACACTATAGGCAGATAAAAGGAACAGCTATGGGCACAAAAATGGCGCCCACCTATGCCAACATCTACATGTCCAATTTTGAAGACAAATTCATCCACCAATACCACCTTAAGCCTCTGCTCTATGCACGTTATATTGATGACATCTTCTTCATTTGGCCCCATGGTGAGGAAAACCTCAAGTTATTCCTATCCCATGTCAACCACTCAGATAGCAATATTACATTCACCAATAGCCACTCATACAAGGAGATTCCTTTTCTAGACGTGCTGGTCGGCATCGAAGACCGCCAAATAACCACCTCACTATACATTAAACCCACCGACAATCACACCTATTTAAACTACAATAGCGCTCATCCTAAAAGTCTAAAAAATTCTATAGCTTACAGTCAGGCACTTAGGATCAAACATATATGCTCCACCACAAATGAACAAGAGAAACACATTGGTATCCTCGTCAACAAACTCACTAGGAGTAATTATCCCATCCGAGTTATTAAACGCAACATAGACAAGATTTCCAACAAATCTCGTGACCAATTGCTCCTTTACACACCCAAAACACAATCCCAACGCATCCCTATGGTATTTGACTACAACACACAAATCAACAATCTTTCCCGCTGCATCAAACGTGACTTTTCTTTCATTCAAGACAATCTCTTCTCTGTGGAAGCATTCAGAGATCCCCCTGTCTTGGCTAGAAGACAGCCCCCCAACCTTAAATCTCCTCTTACTTCTTCTCAGCTTCGTCCCACCCATCCTCAACTCGGTAATCGTCCTTGTGGCAATGCCCGTTGTGCTATATGTGACATTCTTCTCACTGATCGTCTTATCCAAATTCCGAACACTAGTATCACTATCCAACCCCCTCCTCTCACATGCAACAGCCATAACCTCATCTATTTCATAAGGTGTACGGTTTGTGATGGGGTATGTTATGTCGGGGAGACAGGTTGCTCCTTTAGAAGCAGGTGTAATAATCATAAATCATCGATTAAAAACAAATATAATTTACCGATTGCTAAACATTTCAATCAAAAGCGCCATGATATTAAACGTATGAAATTCATTTTAGTTGCTAGCGGGTTTAAAACCCTCAGTGAAAGGCGTTGTGCTGAGCTGAGATGGATACTTAAACTTAAAACACATAAGTCAGGTGCCAATAAAGACCTTGGATTCATATCTGACTTCACTTTCGCTAATAAATAAATATATATTTTGGTCCACCCGTCATATTTTCATCCATCTAGACTATTCATTATCTCTTCTATTTCACATTTTTTTTTTTTTATATTCACTTTATTTATTCGTTTTATCTTCCCATATTCATCATTTATATTTTTATATCATATATTATATATTTCTTCATTCCTTTTTTGATAGTTATGTGTCCACATGACATTTTATTTGACAGTATTATATTATTATCATCATCATATTTTTGTTGTTTA